TTTGACCTCTGAGCTTCGGCTACGTACAACAGCAGCCTGAGGAGGGGCGGAAGGATCTGTGAGAACTCTGTATTGCATTCGCAACTTTTTTCTAAGTCTAAAATTATTTCAAAACAAAACTTTAAACCACCTGCATTTGTACCTGGCTTATAGGCAATGGCCGAACTTGACGTGATTCGCTGTAATCTCACACGTGTTGATGATCTCTCCCGGCAGCCTCGGTTGTTCATCGTATTATGCCTGGGGTTCGCTTTTGCAGCGTGACACTTAATGCTGACTGCGGATTTCTCAATTTTGCTTCCTTTCCTGGGATGGTCCTTCCTGGGGATTGTTCTCCTCAGGCATCTGACAGCCCCCAGCGCCCTGCCCCAGGCCAGGGGAGCCTTCTGACCTTAGGCAGGACCCGGAGCGTTGACCTGCCCTCTGGCTGCCTGCGGCTTTGTGTGCTGTGCCCTGTTCCCTGAGGACTGTGTGTGGCAAGCTTGGACCTCAGTGGTGAGGTGACAGGTGGAGGGAACTTCAAGAAGTGGGGGCCTAGTAGGAGCTCCCCAGACCGATTTGAGGAAATGCCTTCGGAGAGGGTGGGGCCCCAGTCTCTCTCTGGCTTCCTACCTTGCAGTAAGATTCCCCCCCTCTGCGACCCCCTCCACCAGGAGGCCCTCACCAGAGGCACCATATGGGGCTGCTGACCTTTAATCCTCTAAAACTATAAGTAAGCTTCTTCACTTTAAAAGGTGACCCAGCATCAGGTCTTCCATTACAGTAACACAAAACCTATATACCATGGAAAGGCAAGCATGGCCAGCTTCGCCTGTACCTTCCTGCTCTCAAAGACATGCTAGTTCCAAGGTCAGAACTCCGCCCTCACAGACAGCTGACCACAGTCGTCATCTCCAATTGGGCTGACCCTCTCACCTTAGACCACGCTGGTCAGAAAAGGGAACACTTTTAATAAGAGCCTTAGTCTCCTCCAAACCCAAGGGTTTATACACCCACGTTTGTGCTCCAGTATCTCACTAGACAGATGCTACCCTACCAAATTCCAGCTGTTTAAAAAAAAGGGGGGCTGGGGATTTAGCTCAGCGGCAAAGCGCCTGCCTGACAAGCGCAAGGTCGTGAGTTCGGTTCCTGGTACCGGGGAAAAACCAAAAACAAAAAGGAAGAGGAGCAACCTTTTCCCTCACCTTTTGAAGGAATATGTGGAAAGAAAAAAATTTTTTTTGTGGTACTGGGAATCGAACTCAGGACCTTGCACTTGCCAGGCAGGCACTTATGCCCTTGAGCTATACTCCCGGCCCCCGAAAAAAATTTTTTTTATAAAACTCAAATTACCCATATTTCCATCAGGCAACAAAAACGACATAGCACCTGGGATTTTTTACAATTTAAAATAATTATTTTTTTGGCATTCTTATTTTTAAAGCAGTGAAGTAGATTTCCCAATACTTACATCAAATCTCCACCACACACGCTCACTTAACGTTCCCTTTAATGTAGGGAGCACAAGAGGAGGGGCTGCCCCTGCTGCCTTTCAGAATCTCATTGCAAATTTCTATCAATACGAGATAGCGAGGGATGACTTAATATTGAGAAAGAAGCGAAACTGTTATGTACAGATAAATACCAGAGAATGTGACATGTACCACATGGGAAACTATTGGTTTTTCGTTTGTTTTTTGTTTTTTTCTTCTGGTACCAGGAATCGAACTCACAACCTTGCGCTTGCCAGGCAGGCGCTGTGCCACTGAGCTAAATCCCCAGCCCCATGGGAAACTATTTGAAATGATGAAAACGTGCAATAAGGTGCCCACATGTAATAACCAAATCAGTTGCTTTCCTTTAAATTAACGAAGTGTTCGTAACAAGAAGTTCCTCCGAGCAGGCACGCGCACGCCACACGCACGTGCGCGCGCACACACCCTGTAAAAACGCATGGCAGTAAGTATAACGCGACACGTGAAAGACTTGCGCAGAACAACCGTGTCAGTGAAGCACACCGAACTGCCACATCCACTGCAGTCCATACTGAAAGATTTTTTTTTTTCTTGTCTTTTTGAGACGGGTCTCGCTATGCAGTTCAGGCTGACTGAGGTTTTACATCCATTTCTTTGTGTACGTTTGGGGAGCAGCTTCTCCAAGAGCTGTCAGAATCTTGGGGAACACACATAGAAGGGAATGAGCAGGAAGGCCTACAGCCCGTACTTTGCAGCTGGTGTGGAGGTTCGAAGTCCCAGCACCTCCTCCTCCTATCCCTGGCTCGGAGCCCCTGCTCCTTTGCGGGCACACATGGTCTGGATGACTTACCCAGGGAGGAGACCAGACCCTCAACTGTGGGGTCTGAGGCTCTGGTCACCAGGATAAATGGATTGACCAGTATTGGATCATTATCCAAAGTATGAAAGAAATATCTCAGCCATACTGATTTAAATAATTGCCTGAATAAAAACTTAAAATGGGGCAAGGAGACAAATCTGTATAGAGGATTGCAAATAATTTGTATCATGCTCTCCTCTAAAAGAGGTACGGCGTAATTCCCCACCCCTGCAGTAGTAACCCTACTGATCGTGACTTCCGTCCAAAGACTGATGTGCAGAGGTCAGAAAGGTGTCACTCATAACACAGGAGCAGGATGGGGCAAACACTAGCGCAGCCGGGTGGTGCAGGTCAACCTTCATGGAGGTAAGCTGACAGCATGGAGCCTGGACACGGTGTGCCAGAAACGGCTCCTGAGTGAAGCAGTGTTCTTTCCTTAAGCCCCAAATCCAGCTGAACTGAGAGAAACATCAGGCAAAATGAATTTGAGAGCATTTTGCAAAGTGTGTGATCAATGTTCCACAAAATTGCTGTCGTCAACACCAGAAGCCTGTGGAAATGATGACAGTTAAGCCTAACACGGGCTCCTGGAACTGAGGGGGAGGGGTGCAAAGTAAGGAAATCTCAGGGATGAAGTTTAGTCAATAACAATGTCAACATTGGATCATTAATTGTAACTAGTGTACAGTACTAATGTAATATTAATAGGGGGAACTAAATACGGGTATTATCTCTGCATTTTCTTCTAGCTATTCTAAAATAAAAAGTGTATTTTCAAAAGGTCTAAAATAGCCAGGGATGGTGGTGCATGCCCGTAACCTCGCACTTCAGAAGGCTGAGGCAAGAGGATTGCTGGCTCAAGCCCAGCCTGGATAACTTAGTGACTTGGGCCATCTCAAAATAAAAGACAGGGGCTGGGGATTTAGCTCAGTGGCACAGCGCTTGCCTGGCAAGCACAACGTTGTGAGTTCGATTCCCGGTACCAGAAAAAAAAAACAAAAAACAAACAAACAAACAAAAAAGAAGATATGAATCAAAATAAAAGACAAAGGGCCAAGGGTGCAGCTCAGTGTGAAGGCCCTGGGTTCAGTCCTCAGTAGCAAGGGGAAAAAAAAGGTCCAAGTCCAAAATAACACGTTGCAAAAAAATATTTATATTATGTATCCATGTAGCTTTCTCACCTTGAAAAAAAATGCTAGTGCGTGTATTTCCACATAAACACATAGGCATAACTGATGTCTACTACAGGGCTATGCCATCCAGTACTAATAGTCACGTGTGGCTGGTAAAGTAACTAAAGCTAAATAATAATAACATTTCTCAATCATGCTGAAAGACACTAGCTTCATTTCAAGTGCTCGATGCATGCGATTACCATATAGGTAGTACAGACGCAAAAACATTTTCACCATGGTAGAAATTCTACTGGACAGCACTGCTGTAAGATGTATGCATATACCGTGTCACTACACTGACAAGGTACCTAGGAAGATACAGCCTGGAAGCTACTACCTCTGAGAACCATAGTCATTACCTCCCCCTTTGTAAGGGTGCTAAGCAAGTGCTTGGCACTGAGCTATACTCCAGCCTTCCTTTTTATCGTATGTTCTGTATCATTTCACTTTTACTCTAGATTTTGTATCTTTCCATCCTATGAGCATATATTTTTATTACTTTTATAGTTTGAATTTTTTATTGCTTTTATAGTTTGAATACTTTTCAATAAACCGGGCATGGTGGCACACACCTGTAATCCTAGCACTGGGAGGCTGAGGCAGGAGAATCACTGCAAGTTCGAGGGTAGCCTGGGCTACATAGTGAGATCCTGTCTCAAAAAAAAAAAAAATATTTTTTTCATTTAAAAATGGTGTGTAAGGCTGGGCGTGGTGGCACACACCTGTAATCCCAGCACTCAGGAGGCTGAGGCAGGAGGATCATTGCCGAGTGTGAGACCAGCCGGGGCTACAAAGTGAGCTCAAGGCCAGCCTGAACTGCATAGTGAGACCTGTCTCAAAAAAAAGAATTTTTTTTTTTTAAATGGTGTGTAAGAAGCCCTAGTTATAAGTCTCCATGTGCTCACTGGAGACAGTACTTATTTAACAAACTTTTAGCTGAAGTGCTGCTGTTCAAATGCTTTAGCATTTGATAAATAATTATGATAATTTTAACATGAATTATTTTCCTGAACTGTATCTTCAAGCAAAAGAATGAATATAAGTCAGGAAAATATTAACTTATTCCTGGGCCAGGGATATAGCTCAGTGGCACAGCACCTGCCTGGCAAGTGCAAGGTCGTGAGTTCGATTCCTGGTACCAGAAAAAAAAACCCAAACTTATTCTTGCGCCAATTCTTAAAATAGTTGTACATACTTTAAACAATACTGATCTTCTGCTTCACTCTCTTCTCTGTCACTCCCCATTTCTCTCCCCAACTACCACAAGGGAAAGTTTAATTCTTCCCAGTGAGTGGGATTGTCAGAAGGGTATGCATGGATGGATGCACTGTCTTTTCTTTTTGCAGTGCTGGGAATCAAACCCAGAGCCCTGTGCATGCTAGGCATGTGCTCTACCACTGAGCTACACCCTAACCCCTTTTCTTTTTATCATGCTGGGGGAATTGCTGTGTAACATGTTCTTTTGCAGATTGTAACCAACCATCGAATAAGCATGCACAATAGCCCCCAAAGTGGAAAAACAAGGTATTAATTTATTTGAGGGGAGGGGACCAGAACATCACCAAAAACAAAGGTGGCTACAGTAGTTTCAGGACAGGACGTGGGCTGGCGGGCAAACACTCCACCAGTCCAAACACTCCACTCTTCATACGACGAGGACGTAAGCTACACAGAGATGGCCGACAGACATGTAAACATCTTCTGTTCCAGAAAAATTTCTCATGCTACATGAGAAAGATCCAGTGTAAAATAGTTCCTCTTCCCAGGCACGGTCATTCAAATCATTAGCTGAAAAGAGACAGCTATTAGCCTTCACCCCTGGCCTGGACCGCACGCTCTACCCTTCCACCCTTCCATCCCCCATGCAATTCCCCTTTCTCCAGCAGCAGGAAAAAGTTTTACATCAAAGTCTTTCCCTTTAAATATGATTAACATTCAACAGGTACAATCATAGAAAAAATAAAACTGTGTTAATTAAATGTATCATCAGTTATGCTATGTGCTTCTCATTAGAATAAATAAATATTCAGGAGCTCGGGACTAGAGGAATACTAAAGTAGACTTCACATTTTTCTGAGGTGCCAGGACTTTTTCTCAATATTAACACTGAGACCATTCTTAAGATCTACCTGCTCTGTTATATTAAATATGGCTTTATTTCACCTTCTCTCGATACTCCACCTCAGGAAATGAACTGAGAAGACCAGTAAGAGTATCCAATTCTCAGCCAGAGAATTAGCTCCCTGATGCATGTCAATCTCTCTAAGCCTCAGTTGCTTCATCTGCAAAACAGGGGTGACTGCAAGAACCGTGTGAGACCTTTGCGAGGTCTGAATGGAATGAGGAAGAGGAAGCCAGCGGAATAGCTAGAATGCAGCAGGCTGAGAGAGGCTGTCTCCTCCCTGCCACTTCCTCCTGAATAATCTGATGTAACTCTCACCTGGTGAGAACCCCTCTCCTTCGTCTGAAATCACAATATATGATCACACTTACGAATGCGTTAAATACAATCACTTCGTAAGATTCTCCACAGCAGGCTACCCAATGTTAATAGGACTCCCAAGAGATGTGCCGTGTGTGTGTGTGTGTGTGTGTGTGTGTGTGGCCCTGGGGTAAAGACTCAGGGCATCCTCTCATCTCAGCCTCCCAACGAGCTAAGATCACACCCAGCTTCATTTCCAAGAGCTGCAGAGTGAAAGCTTCTGTCTTGCTTTCCTTCGCGTCCTGGCACACATCCAGAGGACCCCAGGCCCTCCACATGTATTGGACGTGGGCTGAATGAGTGAGTGGGGGTGAGGGGCAGGGGCTTGCCCGCAACGGGAACTCTCAGAAGGAGGCACCCTCAGCGTGGGCTCATCAAGCTGCTCAGAGGATGACTTCCGTGGCGAAGCCTTGCGGAGTGGGTCTGGTCTCTCTTTTGCTAGGAGAGTAACACTGGGGGAGGAGTCAGAGAAGTTGTTCGCTTTAAGGCGTCCCTGACTCCAAGCTGGACATGTGCCGCCTGCTGGCAAGGCAGCTTCATCCTCGGGGGGCTTCTCAGCTCTCTGGAAAGGCAGCACGGAAGAAAATCAGCCTTGCACATTCAGCAGAGTTGTTTTGTGTTGCGGAGGTCTTTTCCTTGCAGCAGCAGTGGCAGCAGCGGTGGCTGCCGTCTCTTGTTTTTTAGTGGTTTAACTGCACACACAGCTCCCGACCCAGGCGGAGTGACGCGCTAGTGTTGGACCTTGGGAAAGAGATCTGCCCTACGGAAGGGAGTCAGCCTCTGCCTGTGTGTGCGTAAGCCGGGGTAGAGGCTGCTGATGTGTCCTCGAAGTCCTTTTCCAAAGAAACTCAATTCCCATGTTCCTGCAGTGTGACCTACCATTCTCTCTCCTCTGGGACATATTACTACGAGGCACATCTTGTGCAATGATCAGGTGACATTTCAGTTTACCACTGATCAGAACAACGCCTAACCCAGAGGGGGCACCAAGAAACTGCCAGACCGGCCAAAGTGCCAGGACTGCTCCACACAGCTACCGGCATCCTTCACAGCGTCCAGTGGGTATTTCGAGTCTAATTACGGTGCCAGGCCTGAAATCACTCCCGTAGTCTTGTGACCCTGAACATCGCCCAGGCAAAAGTCTCCCGCAGAGCCAGGCTCCTCCTGCCAGCTGCAGTTTCCCTTCAGGCCTGAGCTGCTGCCGTCAGAAGTACCAGCTGGGTTGTATGGCAGTTTCACTCTGATTAAGGGTTCTCTCCCGAAGCCTCAGTTCCAGGCACTCCACAGTGAGGGGGTAGGTATGGAGCTCAAACTTGTTAGCGAACAGGCTGGGCGAATTCATCAGCCACTTTAAGTCTCCGTTTCCATAGATACAAATGCCGTGTACATAGTGGCCTGCAAGGGAGAACAAAAACAGTCAGAACACGCTTGTGTTCAGAAGTCAGGGTGGGGAGTCAGGCAGGTACGACTGACCTGACTGGGAGACCTGTGCCAAGTGTGCTGAGACTCCCGTGGAATAAGGTTCCGGCATCCCGGCCCCGAGGAGCCTAAACTCTGCTTCGGAGGTCGAGAGGTACACAAGGCGGCTGGGTGCGATGGCACCTGCAACCCCGGCACTCGGGAGGGTGAGGCAGGAAGCCTGCCGTGAGTTCGAGGACAGCCTGGACTGCATACTGAGATCCTATCTCAACCAGTAACAACAGCAATAACGCAAGCATGCAGCGTAACAGGTGTCACCAGGCAATCCAGGTGTTAGCGGCGAGAATCAGAGAGGACGCTGTGTCTCCCCTTCGGCGTGGGATGCGCATCCCTGACCTCAGCCCTGATGGTCACCTGCCCCTAAGACCCCCGCCTCGAAGTCTGCCACACTCTTCAGTGCCCCGGGCGCTGCCCCGTTTTCCCACCTCTAAAATGTGCTGTGAACGCAATCTGAGCCCTCTCACCCCGGACCAAGTCACTCCCGGCTTCTGATCTGAATGGGGCCCCCCAGAGGGGGCTCCCCCGCTTCCCTCTCAGCCCGCCAGCACGGCCAGACGGCACTCACGGCCGCGTCGCCCGGCTCCAGACGTGAACAGTGGCACCCCAGCCTCCAGACTCGGCTCATTCATTGCCCTGCTGGGCCCGCCTCTCCCCGGGGTGCCCTGGGTCAGTCGCTCCGGCCACGTGGGCTCCGGGCCCAGCACCCGAATCGGACCACGCTGCAGCCCGGAACCCAGGCCCCCTGCGCGCAACCCCAGTCTCTGCTTCATGGCCGCCTCCTCGGTGAGGCTTTCCCCGACCGCCTCGCCCTCTTCCTCATGTAATCTCCTTGGGAACTCGTATCGCTGCGGCGCAGGAAAATCATTTTGCTCAGGCTCTCTCTGCTTTGTACTCAGCCTAGACGGTCATCCCTGGGGTAGGATTTCAGAGCATTTAATTCACACCTGCATTCTTCCCATCCGCGGCAAGGGCTGGTAAGTCCTGGGTGTTTTAAGTTAACAATTGTTAAATAAAAAGATGGAGAAGGTGGGTGGAGAATTCACGGATTGGCAGAACTGGGGACATGGGGAGAAGGGACAAAGTTTTGGGTGGACTGAAGGAAAGAGTGCAGAGGTGAGTTTCCTGCTGGAATAAGGACTATGGGGCCGGCAGGAAGTTGGAACCACTCCCCGCGGCTCTCCCTGGCACATGACAGAACCCTGGGAGACTGACAGGGAAGGAAGGCTTCAACCTTTCACCCTTTGGATGTGGCGAGTCCTTGGAGATTTTTTACCAGAGTCAAATGACAAAGCTGTTTTAACTGATCAAGTCTGCAGTACTTCGCAGGATTGAAAATCCACAAGACTGCAGCACTAACACGACCTAACCCGGGCAGGTGGGGGCGTGTGTGTTACTGGGTCACTGCGTTGCCCACAGGGCTCTGCGGCCTGTGGGTTTTGCATTTTCTTTCTCCTGCACAGTGATCTGGAGGGAAATCTCTGTGCCCTTAACTGTAAGCTTATAGGCACGCATTGGCAGGGTAGGCAACGAAAGAAAAACCGGAGGCTTGGGCTTCAGACTGCACACTTAGGTAGGTTCCTCGCAAAAGCCAACTCTCGTGACCCCCACCTGTCAGTGATCAGTCAGGGTCCCCACAAAAACACAGGCCTGCGGGGCCTCCGGGCTCCCCCTCTAGTGGGATGGGGCCTGGGCACGGAGACTGCGGAAGTATCTCCTGGTGCGGTGGGCGCTCCGGGGCCCTAGTCATGGTGATGTCCTCTAGCACCAGCGTCAGGCATGCGAAAGAGGCCAGGGGTAACAGGGAGCTGCAGAGAAGTAGAAAGCTGGAGTTCCCACTGGGAACAGGTGCAGATGAGACAAAGGAGTGAGTGAAGCGCCAGGCTGGAGAATGGGAGCAAAGCTTTTTCACCACAGGCAGAGAAGGCAAAATCGCCACGTTCTCACTCACTCAATCACGGAGCAGGTTTGCTGCAAGCTGTTATGGGCTCTGCCGCGTGCCCCTCCAAATCCCCAGACTCCTAATGCCCAGCACCCCAGAGCGGACGTAGGGTGGTTAAACTGGTAATTAAGGTAAGAGGGGGCAATGAGGGGGAGTCCTTACGAGAAGAGGCATCAGGATACAGACAGTGGAAGGACCACGTGAGGACTGGGGAGAAGACGGCCATTTGCAATCCAAAGGTGAAGCCTCAGAAAGAAGCCGCTATGCGGATGCTTGGCCGTGGCCTTCCAGCCTCCAGAACCCGGAGAACACCGACTCCTGTCTGCTGCGTTGTGATGGCAGCTTCAGCAGCCTAATGCACGGGCCATGCCCACTGTGTGCCCGGAAAGACTTGGCACAGAAAGAGTGCCAGGACCGCTGTCAGTCCTACTCCACAGTACGCTACGGACATGGAAATGTCCCAGGGCTTCCAGGTCTTGCCCATGTGGAAGAGGGCCCTCTCTCCCTAGTGTCACACAGCATCGTGCCCGCACTCCCGCAGCTCTCCAGTCCTATCCCAGCGGAAGCACAGGCTGGCGTGAGGGACGAGGACCCAGGGTGCTCGGTGGGGAGAACAAGACCTCTCCTTACAGCTCCACCCCCAAAGGGGTTTGAGGGCTAACACGTGAGAGAGTGGACAGTAGCCAGAAGGAAGTAGTATTATAATTTGAAACGACTTCTGCTAGTCCCTAGGTAATTCAAAGCTGGAGAATGTCTGTGAGATACTTAAACTTGCCGTGAAGAGACTAGGTCTTGGAGCCTGTCCTCTCTTTGTGGGAACTACTGTTTCCCTGAAACTAAGACCTCGCTGGAGCAGTCAGCCATGAATCCCAGACATAACAACGCCAGCCCAGTCTACCCTCGCCTTACCCGCCTCGCAGAGGAGCTACCAAGGGAGAGAATGGAGACGGCGGCAGGCTAAACCCGGTCACGGTTCTCTCCCCGTGATGCCCCGGGTGGCGGAGCTGCCCTCAGACAGACACCGAATGGCATGGCTTGAAAGCATGAAATCAGTGCCTCACCGTGGCAGCCTCCGTGTTTATCTTCCATGTCGATCCACTTCACAGCTCGGAGGTTTCCAGTCCAGGATGCATTGGGCATAGAGCCAGGGACACCTGTGCCATTGATAAAGAAGAGATGAGGATCAGGATGGGAGACAACGGCTCCACCCAGGAAGCCTGAAAGCGCTGCTTCTCTTTTAGGACATACCCGTCGCACTTCACACAGACTAGAGTGCAGCAGTCCACATATCTTCTTTCCTCCATTTGATCTTGTGGTTTTTGTTTTGTTTTGGTTTTTTGAGATAGGGTCATGCCGTGTTGCCCAGGCTAGCCTGGGCTCTAGTGATCCTCCTGCCTCAGCCTCCCAAGTAGCTTGAACTATAGGTATGTGCCACCATGCCAAGCTCCAATTGATCATTTGCGCATACATTATTTGCTGACTCATTACCTGAATGATGTAACATCTAATTCAATCAATATATGAATCCAATTCTAATCAGCATACTAATATTAAATCACTAATTAGTTATTATAGCTAATTAGTATAATATCTAATTCTTTTTTTTTTTTTTGGTCTTTTTGAGACATGTAGTTCGCTATGTAGTTCAGGCTGGTCTTGAGCTCACTTTGTAACCCAGGCTGGTCTCAAACTTGCAACAATCCTCCTGCCTCAGACTCCCGAGTGCTGGGATTATAGGTGTGTGCCACCATGCCCGGCAATATCTAATTCTTTGAGGTGTAAAGAATGAACCTGAAAAACAAACAAGATGGGGAGGGGGTGCCTTCCTCTGCCATGTTTCCAAGTGAGGGTCTCTCCACCTCGGCACTGCTTTGGGATGGGCAGTTCTGTGCGGAGGGGGCTGCCGTGTGTACTGCAGGGTAGCTGGTGGCACTCCCGGGTCTCTACCCACTAGATACTAATAGCACCATCCCCCAGCTGTGACAACCAAAATCCCAGCAGACACTGCCACAGGGGAAGGGGGGAAAAAAAATCACCCGACTTGAGACACAAGGCTAGGCCATTGCAGCCCTCTCCAGCTTGATAAATTTTGGGTAGGTCACAGAGGTTAAGGTCCACTTAGCCATACAGGACAGTTTTTGTTTGGTATTATTTGTCTGCACTACTAGAGATTGAACTCAGAGCGTCAGCACTTGGCTACGTTGTGAGCCCTTTGCAAATTTTGTATTGTGAGGACAGGATGTCTCTAAAGTACTAAACTGCACCAGGCTGGGCTCACACTTGTGATCCCCCAACCTCAGCTTTCTAGATTGCTGAGACTACAGGCATGGGCCTGGACATACAGGGTAGTTATAACAAGATAATGACAAAAATCATTACTGGCAAAGGAGTGCTATATAAGGGAATATCAGGGCAACTAAAAGAGGAATCCTTTGCCTCATAAGAGCTGCTGTGCTTTTCCCAAGTGAGTAATGGAATCGGAACCTATCGGAGGTGACGACAGTACACAGATGTCTAGACTCAAACTGCAACAGGCCTCTTTGGGATGATTCTCTTAACACTGGAACGACACACAGTAGCAGGCAGATAATGTCCCCACCCCCAGACACACACACTTGTGGACAGAGGTGCCCCACGCTGATCCCTGGACCCCGAGAATCTGCCACATTTCAGGGCATGGGGGAATGGAGGTTGTTCATCCACTGAGCTCCAGACAGGGAGAATTCTCTGAACTAGAATTCGGGGTTCAGTGCAGTCCAAGGGCCCGTGTCAGACTCCTAAGCTCAGCACTGTACGGCACGACACGTAGGTTGTGCAAATAAGTTGGTGGTAATTTGTTAAAGGAGCAAATAATAGAAGCCAATTCACATACTGGCAAGAAAAAGATTACTTGAGTATGTTGGTACTTTTTCCAATAAAAAAAGAAATTTGGACAAGACCAATACTTTTACATGCCCAGTCGCTCTTCACTTCTTTCAAAGACCTTTGCCTCTTTACAAAACATTCATAAGACCACATGCATGTTCAGAAGAAAAGCAGCTCTATTCTTTTGCCCTGTGGTCACATGAGAATTGTGTGATGATCTAAATCTGGAATTGTACCCAAGTTTCCCAACTAAAATTAAATTTTACCAGTCTTTCCTATAAATAGCAGGGATCTTTAACCCCAGCTCTGAAGGCAACGGAGTCTTTTCTTGTAGTCAGGAAAAGTATTCAGCAAAAACACTTTAAAGTAACATAACTTATTGCTTTATCTTGTATACTTGAACAGTCTTTTAGTGTCTGCCTATCTAAAAGGAAGAGTCCTTGTTTTACTCTTTTTTTTATATTTTGTTTTTTTCCTTTTTTTGTCTTTTTGAGGCAGGGTCTCGCTATGTAGTTCAGGCTCGCCTTGTGCTCACTTTGTAGCCCAGGCTGGTTTCGAACTCACAACGATCCTCCTGCCTCAGCCTCTCGAGTGCTAGGATTACAGGCGTGCCCCACTACCCCCGGCCTTGTTTTACTCTTAACACAGGTTAAAAAGATTGAAATTTGGCTTGGTTAAGTTGAGGTCAGGGGACAGAGGCCTGGAAAAGAATTTAGTTTATTTTACTTGTATCAACAAGACTAGCTGGTGTGTGCAGCATTTATGAGTATTTAGATTAAATTACTACATCAGAAGAATGTGAATAAAATATTTCCATGACAAAACCTCATAATCTTTAAGTGACTATATTTTTGAAAGGACATTTTTCTTCCTCTTTCATTTTCATTAATACTGATCACCTCAAACTTACTCAGAAAGACCTATTATTCCAGAGAAAAGAGTGTGACATTAATAATTAATGACCCCCTATCTTTCAAATAAACATACATCTTCTGACCTCGGGCTACTGAAATTCCAAATCTCAACTTCTGTGCTTTCTATTTGATGACAGATCTCAAACACATCTACGTCTAAATATTAGCCATATTTGGGCATAAAAATATTACATTTATTAGCCAGCTGCAGTAGCACAAACCTATAATCTCAGCATTGAGGTAGGCTGAGGCATGAGAATCCCAAGTTTGAGTCCCAAATGAGCACCTCAGGAAAATTCTGTCTCAAAAAATAAAAAAGGATTGGATGGGCTGGGGATATAGCTCAGCAGCACAAGTGCCTGCCTGGCAAGCACAAGGTCCTGAGTTCAATTCCCAGTACCAACAACAAGCAAACAAAAAGTACTGGAGAGGCAGCTCTGGGGTGAAGCTGCCCACTATTTCCATGGCTAGCACCTTCCCAGAAGAAAAGCTCAAAGTGGAAGGGGAGGGAGGCAAACGTAAACCAAGGTGAATTCTACTTTGCTGTCTTTTTACAAAGAATCCCGCTGCACAGAAAGCTCTGGCAGGATTGGGCCGGGACTGTGGGCCTGGACCGTTGCTATCCAAGTGTGGGATAAAAGATCCACGCAGACCGAAAGCCATCAACCCCTGTGCCAAGCTCTGCTTGCTCCCTCCGCTCCTCAGAAGCCAGGAGAAAGCATGTTTCCCCTTTCCCTCCAAGACTGGTCTCAGGCCACGCCGGAGGGCACGGAGGCTGGCCTGGGGATGAGGAACTTTGTTCTCGTGCTAGCCCTGCCAGACACCAGCTGGGCATCTTTACTCCCAAGACCCACTCTCCAGTGATGTAGGCGGGTTGGCCAGTGGTTTACAGCGGAGACGGCAACCCACAGGGAACCAGATTGCATCATCTGTCTCTGTCTCGCACACATGCGAATGAACAGAAGTTTCACCAAACAATACTTAGGCTGCAGTTTACTTGTTTATTGTATGTTGCCGTCCAGTCTGGTTTCATTTCTAGTAGTTAAGAAACCACTACAGTGAATTCTGGACTCAGTTCTCTCTCTCTTTTTTGGTGGGGGGGTTCTGAGACAGGGTCTTGCTGGGTAGTCCAGGCTGGCCTTGAATTCACAGTGGTCCTCCTGCCTCAGCATCCTGAGTGATGGGATTACAGGAGTGCACTGCCACAACCAGCAGGACTTGGTTCTATTGTTGTTGCGGTTGTGATCTTCTCTCCTGTTTGTCAGTGCTAGGAGGGCAGTTATGGGGGAGATGGGTACGTGAGTCTACCCTCAGTCCACAAGTACCCTAGAAGAGCCTATTTTTCATTCTCTCTAGGATGGGACAAGAAGAAGCCTGCCAATGTTATCAGAAAAAACACTCTGAACTATAAAATCCATTTCTTCTATTTGCTCTTCATAGGCTTATGAAAACAAAACTTTTGAGATTAAGTCCGCAGAGTAACCAGGAATTGTTTTCCTTGGGGCCCAACCTTTATTGGTCAAATAACTGTGTCTGTTAAATAAATGAACCTGATCCTTTGAAATACAAGCTTTATTTATACTGACTCAGCTTCTTCTTATTCTCACACGCCTTGGTCCTCACTTTGGGAGGTTGATCTGCGGTAACAAGTTCCACTTTTCACTCATTAAGTAAGTAAGGGATATTGTTTTCAAATGTGAAGGAGGCAGTGCTGGCAAGAGGGTATTGAAAGGTTTCTCACAATTTTATTTATTTATTTTTAAGCACTGCAGATTAAATCCAGGGCCTCAGCACTGAGCTACACCCCTATCCCTCCTTATTTTTTATTTTGAGGCAGGATCTTGCTAAACTACCCATGCTGGACTTAAACCTGCGAAACTCCTGCCTCAGCCTCCCAGAGTGCTAGAATTACAGGCATGCACCACCCTGCCTGGTGGTTTCTCACAATTTAATGGTGGTGCTGGAAACCGGGACAAAGGTAGAAAATGAGCTTGGTGACGTGCAGGAAAAGCCACCATAGTTACCATTCTCTTCTGCAGTTAAACCAATACCTTCCAGATAATGAAATTATTTTTAAAGTGCAGAGACATCTGTGTATGAAGCTGTTTACTACATTATAACAGGCTCTGAAGTTAGACAGGACTTCAAATCTTTGTGGTTAACTCCTTGTATAACTTGAACAACGACTTAAACTCTTGAAGATATGGTGTAATTAACACCCCCCACCTGTTTTGCAACAGAGGTCTTGCTATATAGTCTGGGCAGGCCTTAAACTCCAATCCCCTTGCCTCAGCCTCCTGACTGCTGGGATTACAGGCATGCACCACTGTGCCGGGCTCAGGGGTGAGGTAACCTTTAAGCACTTACAGAGTTTA